CCTAATCACCTATTTATACTAATCAGCTAATAAGAAGATAACTATCTAATGAGACATTTTAGCTAATCTTCTATTAACAGATAACGTTTATCTATTCTATGGATAAACTTTAGTATTGGAGATAAACTAGAAATCTAGTTGTCGACATGTCATCTCCAGCTGTCATTCCTGGTGTGATGAATCTTCTTTATCTTTAGATCTTTGTTGTATGCTTCTGGATGATTTGCTGGAGAATTCACTAAGTGTTGATGACCAGAGGATCGATGAGGATGCTCTTTCCTCGCATCCCAGGTCGTCCATCGGTCCTCTGGTTGTACTCCAGACTTAGCCGATTCTGTCTTGATATCTTCATCGGTCTTCTGATTCTTCATCACTTATTGTTTTTCATTACTTTTTACATTATGAATTGTGGGGTTCAACAATCTCCCCCTAAGTAATGAAATAACAAACATATACTATTCTAGTGACATTTGTGATGAACAAAGACTAATCTATTAGAAAGACATCAGATTCCAAGTTCTCATTGGATGATGAAATTCTTACAAGACTGGAATCAAAATACATCAAGGCAAAAAAAATTAACTCATCACGAGCTACCTGAATATATTTCTCTAAAGCGCAGGAGCAGTCGTCGATATGCGATGACTGTCTCGATATCTCGTGAATGAGTCGACTCCCTTCTTCCCTTGGCACATGGTTTCTGCCCAGTCTTTCTCTGATGACTTTCTAAAACCATTCAAGTGTATCCGTTGAATACTTGAAGGCCTCAGTCAGTCTAAAGAACCTTTTAACCCCGAACTCATTTTTGTAAACAAGTCCAAGCTCGGTTTGAGTCAAAACTGAGGCAGATCTTGTTTCCTGCAGGCCTTGGAAGTCTTCATTTGGAGGGGTGCAGGAGGGCCTTTCAATGCCTAGCCGAAGAGCTATTTCAAAATCGCTCTTGGCTCTGTGGTTTACCAGAGTTTCCATTGTCTTTACCACCGCTCAGTTTGCCATTCCAAATCTGATGTCGTGGTCTTGCCTCTGAGCCGTATATGCATATAATTCGATCAGGTCATATGGGTTAAGGTTAATGAGGTCGTTCTCGTTAAACATGCAAACTAGCCCATTCGCTCTCTCCAGAGTGAACTCGATGTATCGGATGGCTCGGTTGGCAAAAGTCCTTATTTTCAAATCAATGACCCTCCTTATCCCATCATTCAAAAAGACAGCCTGGGGTGCTTGAGTGGTCTGTCTAATGAATCTATGGTGTAGGAGGTCCATGGACTCAGGTGACAAGATTAGAGGATTGGTGGTCAAACTGTCATCGTGGTCTTGGTATAGATATTGATGAATATTTTCTAGCAAAATTGGTTCCCTAGGTGGCAAATTAGGACGTCTCCGTATTGACTCCATGCATTGTATGATCTTGTCTACCAAGCTCTGAGGAGGTTGCCTTGAGGAAGAGGAAGTATCCACATGCACCACGGGTGTTTGGGTTAAGGGTTGTGTATGGGTTGGTGTTGGTTCAGGTTGGGTTCGTTGGGGTTCATTTGGTTCGGTTTGGGTGCTTTCTAGTGCATGGGATTCGGTTGGGGATTGTGGTTGTTGGGGTGATGAAGGTTGTAGTGTCATTGGTTCTTGTTGCATGGATAAGGTGAATGGTTGAGTGGTGCTTGGTGTTGGTGAAGGGGTTAAGGGTAGGTTTGATGTGGGTGTTGAAGGTTGGTTACTTTGTGTTGGTGGGGTTGTAGGTTCTTCATCGGTTGAAGAGCTCAACACGATGGGCTCTTGGGTTGCAGCGAAGAGAACATGTACTTCACGTACATCTTCAGAGGGCAGAGCCTCTAGTTCCCTTGCTTGGGTTTGTTCTGTTGGAGGTGGTGATTGTGTTTGTGGTGATGGTGAAGATGATGGTGCAGCGAATTCGGTGTGATATGCAGCCGCCACCTCTGTCTCCCCCTCACGAGGTCCAAGACCTTGATCATTAGGGTCTTGGTCTTCGTGTCTTGGTCGCTTGTGTGGGCGACTACTTGAGCAAGAGGCTCTGGATCTCTTCTTCTTCTGTTCCTTCCTAAAGGTAGCAAGGTATGTGTTAGGACTGAAAAATCAGTGTTAATTGTATTCGTCTTGAAAGATTAATTTTAGTCTATAATTGTAAAGTCAGCGTGTTTGACTTTCTTAGACTAGTTTGACTTTGACTTTGTTAGTTAGGTTGACCATATAAATATGGTTTAATCTTTGTAATTGGAAGGAGAAGGGAGCTAATTGTAAGATTACATTGATAATAGAAGGTTTGACCAAAATTGAGAGGATTGACTTTTCCTCTCAATATTCATAAAGTGTTCATAGTGTTCTTATTGTTAAATCCATGAATTTGCCATTGAAGGAAGCTTAATATGAAGATTGATCAGTAATTGTGGACACACAATTGGTATCAGAGCTGGAATGCAAGAAATCAGAGGAATATTATGAAGATAAGTGAATTTTTTCTGGATTTTTCTTAATTTTTGAATTTTTGAATTTTTGTGTTCTTCGTGTTCTTCGTGTTTTTAATTTTTTTTTCTCTGTTTGATCCGATTTTATCATAAAATCTTGTGTTTTGGTGTTAAAAACATGATCAAAATGTTCGAAATTGAATTGTGAATCTTTGTTATTCACAAACTTTTACGATTTGATCAATTTTAATCAAGATTTGATCGGGTTTTTGTGTTTTAAATTTTTTTTCGTGTTCTTAATTTTTTTTCGTAATTCAGTGTTTTGATCCATTTTTTCTTAAATTTCTTTTAGTTTTTGTGTTTTTATTAGTTTTAATCTGATTTTTTAGTTTGTGTTTGTTTTTATTTTTTGTTTTACCGCCCAAGTTATGGAAAGCCCAACTCATGGAAAGCCCATCCATTGTTTGTACATCTAAACCGTGTGAGTATTGAACGGTATATCATCACAACTTGAAGCTTGAAAGAACCGTGAGATACACCGGAGAAGGCTTGACCGATATTTCAACCGGTATTCATCTACACCGGTCATCACTTTACCGGATTAGGGGTTCTGATTCGTTCAGCACGCAAGGTTTCTTGAGCGGTATTCTAAACCGCACACTACTTGACCGAATTTCAAGCTACACTGGTCACCACTTGATCGGAGAAGGGTTTACACCGCTCACCTCTTGACCGGATTAGAGCTCTAATTCGGTAAGCATCATTTATCGTGAGCAATTTAGGTTTTGCTTTGACCGGTTTAGGACTTGTTGAGCATTGAACTATTTTTTAACGGACTTCTAATCCGCTTGATTCCTCTTACCTTGATTCTTGTTTGTTTGTTGTTTCTTAATTCAATCTGGTAATTTGTTCAATAACCTGTCAAGAATCGATTGAGATTGGTGAGATTTATTTGAGCATTTCTAATCAATTGAGAGTGCTATTGTTTGATTTGTGCTTTGTTTGTGGAGAAGGAGTCTTGTGAAAATTCATATGGTGAGATGATGCAAATGTGGCACAGTAGTCTTGATTAGCAGATGGATGCAAATGTTGGTTGATTAGTAGTCTTGTGTTAGTGCTTAGTCAATTTGTGCAGGTTTTAAACAGGCCGTAGCACAGACTGCAGCAGTTTGGCAAATTGGACAGTAAGTTCTTAACAGACATGAGATTAAGATGATGATGAACAGCAGGTGAGGATTGAAGCAGTTACACAGTAACAAAAATTTGCAGTGTTTTAACAGGTTCTTATAACAGCAGCAACAAACTACTGCTGTTTGTTTGTTTAACCAAAGCTAGTTGTTTGTGGAAAGCAGTTGCCTTTTTGTCACAGATTTGGCTGTTGTGTGTTGCTGACTCTTGCTAAAACAGAATCATTGCTCATAGTTATTAACATCTGTGAAAGCAAAACAGCAGCTTCACAGCAGGTTTGGGATTAAGTGTTGTTTAGACAGCAATTATATTTTGAAAGCAACTATTGTGACAGCAGTAACAGGTTTAATTTGTGTGCATACACAGGTTTTGATTTAACACTCAGTTTTGCTTTGCATAGTGATTTAACACATTTTGAGATTGTTTCTGATTTGTGCAGAAAGTTTAGTGCAGTAACTACTTTTTGTTGTGCTGCGTTTTGATTTGAAACAGCAAATCCAACAGCAGCAAAGTGTTTAACAGCAGCAACATAGTCTATATACATGTTGACATCATGTTGACAGCTGTGTGTAGTGTTTAAGCTAACAGAAAAGCAAACAGTTACTGTTCATCATTTTCTTTGACAGCAACAGCAAAACAGCAAGTAAACAGTAAACAGAATTTGTGTTCATACAGAAGAAAGGTAAAGCAGAGTGTGCAGATGGACATAATGTACAAGTGACAGAATGTGTAGTTTTTAGTTTTAAACATCAACTGTTTGAGGTCTGAAACAGCAGCAACAGAAGGATTTGTGTTTGCATTTTGGTGTTTGAAGCAGCTATGTTGTTTAGTGTAGTTTAGAATAGCAACTAGCAGCTGCGTTGGTGTTGAGAAGAAACAAACACCAGCAGCATTAACATTGCAGCAACAATTTTTAACTGCAATTGTTTCACAGCAGAAACTTCAATTGTTCTAATTTGAGTTTAAGTGGTTAGAGTTTGTTGGTGATGCTGTCCTGGATCATCTTACTACATAGCATTTATTTTTTATGTATACAAATCTGCCACCAGGACGCTTGACTGATTTGCGAGCTGCTGCTGTCAATAATGAAATTTTTGCACGTGTTGCTGTTAAACATAACCTGCATGTGCACCTGAGACATGGTTCAAGTGCACTTGAAAAACAGATACGAGGTTTTGTGAAGAGTTGGTATCATTGTGTTTTGTCTTTGAGCTTAACAAATTGGTCTTTGCTTGTTGTTTTTGAGTAGACTACATATTAGACTAAATCATACTTGGCTCTCATAATAGCAGATTTTAAACTGTTTTAATAGCAGTTTTTAAAACAGGTTGCTAGGTTGAAAGTCTTGAAAGAGACAGCAGGTTTTAAAACAGGTCTGTGGTATTAACAGCAGCTAAACAGCAGGATTTTACACTGTTTTTGGTCTTGGTTTTGGTTTTGTAGCATAAATCACATTGGAAAGCAGTTTTGTGATCCTGTTTTGCTTTCAATATACATGTTGTGAATCTGTTAACAATGATAACAGTTTGGCTCTTAATCTGTTAAGCTTCTGTAGGTTTAAGCAGTAACAGTTTTTGTGAGAAGCATACTAAGAGGATTGTAGATTTGTGCAGAACTAAAGCAATTCTTTAGGTGACAGTTTCTTTGTACATTGTGACAGTTTCTTCAAAGAAGGAGGTACATCAAAGTACATCAAAGTTTCATCATACACAGCTCAGGTGGGACAAAGTGTACTTGTACAGAAGACTCCGATAGTCTAAACTGCAGTTAGAGGGAAGCTAAAAGTTGAAGATAAGCATACTCTGAAGAGAGTTCATATCAGTATAGATACATTGTAGCTATATTTTAGACTGGTGCTGATAATTCTACATTGTATTGTGTTTGGGCTTGGTTCAATTTGTTTTTGGACTTGGACATTATTTTTTTTGGGCTTTTATTAGTTGTCTTTGACTGTTTTTAGTTTCTTAGATTGTTTGTGTTTAGATTTTCTTTTGGATCATTGTACATTTGTTTTTGCGTGTCTTTTTCAGTGTTTGTGTTTTTCTGTTCTTTTTGAGCTTAACTGTTCATATTCTTTTATCTGATTTCACTGCATAGATCCTTAACTGATCATCTTTTTAAATATGGCAGATATTCTTTTGAAAGAGAATCAAGAATTGCGAGCAAAGTATGATGAGCTGGAAAAGAACTATAAACTTCAAAATTATGTTAATGAGAAATGTAATGAATCTTTGCATCGAGCGTATAACGAAAAGATAGAAAGAATTGTGAAGGAATTTGAACATAAGATTGAAACGGTTGAAAACAATCGGAGTTTGGATCGGAAAAGTTATAATGATGAATTGGAAAAGTGGATCTCGTCTAATGCTGATTTGTCAACTAAACTTGAATTAGTTAAGACTGCACTAATTGCTGAAAGACATTCTCCAAGCAACAATTCAGATACAAAGGCCTTAACTGACAAGTTCCACAAGACTGAGAATGAGCTGAATGAGTTAAGGAGATTATTGACATTAGAAAAGGAAAAGGTTTCACAAGTTGAAAAGGTCTTAAGTGATGTAGGCAAGAGATGGAAATAGAAAGGAATAGGATAATTGAAGTTGAAAGAAAGTTTGGAGCTGAACGAGAATCTTACGAGAAGAAGATTAACTCTCTTGAACTGAATGCCAAGATGCTTCTAAAGCAAATCTCGGATTTTGAGCAGCTTATTGTTTTGGAAAGAGAGAAACATAATAAAGAAAAGACAGACATCTCCAAAGACTGTCAGAGCCAGCTCCAGAAACTGTCTAAAAGCATCGATCTAAAGCAAAAGGCTTTGGACGAAGAGAAAAAGCAATTTGCTTCAGAGAAAAGAAATACTTCAAAGAAGTATACAACAATTGCAAAAGAGCTTACTGAGAAGAGGAAATGGCTTGACATCGCTTTGGAGAATGACAAAAGCAGCTTAGATGAAGAGAAGAGAGAGTTGCTAAGTCAGAACAAACAGTTTGAAATACTTCAGAAGGAGTTAGAAGGTAAACTCCTGGATACTTCAAAGAAATTGTTTGATCTAAAGACAGACCTTGAAACTGAACTGAACATGAGAACTGAACTGAAAATTAAATATGATTTAGTTACTGTAGAACGAGACCAGCTTTTACAAAGAGTCAAAGACTTTTCTTGTGCTCAAAGCTCAACTGGTTCTCCTTCTCAGTGTAAAACCAGCTTTTATAATTGTTCATATTCGAACAGTTATTCAAGCAGTCCTAAATCTAAAGTTTCAAAGAATTATTCTTGTTCTAATCAGTACTATCAAGGGTATGTCATTGGATCACCCAATTATTCTTCAAAGATGAAAAGCATATGGGTTAGTAAGTCTGATTCTGCTTTATCTCATACACCTGTTGGTACTAACAATCTTCCTTGCATTGTGAAGTCTACTAATGATTTGATTAATCTTAGCAAGAGAAGAATTTTGTGCTCAACATGCACAACCAACAATTTTGTAAATAATAAACGGTTCAACAGGTGGCATGGAGATAACAGTTATCAGAATCACTGGAAAGGTAAGAACAGGTATGATCCCAATTACTTATATGATTCATATTCTAATCCTGGTCATCCTGTTCATAGTGCTGAACAGAATTCATCCTATAGAAAGAAGTGGTTTGGTACTTACAACATACCCCAACCAAATTCTAACATATTAGGACCTAAGTCCGTTTGGGTACCAAAATCTACTTGATTTGGTTTTGCAGGTGTGTTCATTTCATGCTAATCAGAATATCATTTTGGGTGATACACCAATGCAGGGGGAGTTGTACATTATTTCAAATTATGGCTTCTGAACATTTCAGTTCAGAACCCGTGCTTTACCGAGTGTGGTTTCTAAACACTCAGTTTAGAACCCGTGCTTAAAATGTTTTCATTTTTTTTGAGCTT